GATGTAATTGATGACGAATAAAATTAATATTATAATTGTTTTACCTATAAATGTAAATATTTCCAACTATTAATGTAAATGTATAAGAATATAATTATGGTGCCTTTGTATGTTGATAAATTTTTTTGTATTTAATTCTACTTTTTTCAATTTATATCTTATAAATTAGTTTATAAAAACTGCAATGTTGTAAAGGGTGATTTTCAAAAGTTGAAAAGTTGCAAAATTTTGGCAAAAAATTGTTTTCACCTATAGCACTCATAACAATTGATTTTTAAGGGTTGAAAATGTATGAATTTGTATTTTAAAGTATAAAAAAATCACTATTTAACTAATCCAAACCAAATTTCACTCATCTTAAGATTTGTAATATTATTTTACAATTTTTGAAAATTAGGGGTAGTTTTCAGGCCTAAGAACAATCAGGGTTCATCGGCATGACATAAACTATAAAGCAGAGGGTGAGTTGAGCTTAATTCCAAATTTTTATGCAAATCGTTCCAAGGTGTAATCATTTTCTTCGCATTACCAATTTTTCTATATTAATCTCTAATAAGGGTCGCTTTTTAAGGGTCGAAATATGATGGAACTTTATTCAAAAGCACGAAACTATCATTATTTAATTAATTCAAACCAAATTTTACGCATATTCAGGTTTAATATGTTATTTTATAATTTTTGACAATTAGGGGTAGTTTTCACCCCTAAGGATAATCAGGGTTCGTCGACATGACATAAACTATAAAGCAGCGGGTGAATTGAGCTTAAATCCAAATTTTTATCCAAATCGATCCAAGGCGAAATCATTTTTTTAGAATTGGTAATTTTTTTACATTAATCTCTAACAAGGGTTGCTTTTTAAGGGTTGAAATATGATGGAACTCTATTCAAAAGTATAAAATAATCATTATTTAACTAATTCAAACCAAATCTTACCCATATTCAGGTTTAATATGTTATTTTATAATTTTTGACAATTAGGGGTAGTTTTCACCCCTAAAACCCTTCAGCGCACTTCGGTTCGATGTAGATTTTGATCCTTGGGCTATCACCTACCTTCTGTTAAAATTTCAACTGGATACATGCAGGACGAAAAAATTGCGAGGTTTTAACTATTTTCGAGATTTATTTCCTGAACTATTATCGTTTCCTTAGACAAACCCGTCTTACGCACACAACATTGTTGTGAGACAGATAGTTGAACGATATTTTATACAATGTCTATACCCAGGTATGGATTTATTTTTGTCCGAGTTTTATATTGGTCCACTATTTCAAATGCAGTTCAAACAGACATGTATTAAATTGTATGTTCCGTTTTAATTTGGTTCAATCTGTATATGAATATACTCTAGTACCCTTTCTGATGATCTCATATGTTATATAGATGCTTATTATGGCCACATTGTAATAGTGACCAGACGAAAAAATATTTAGTTGTAACTGTCTGATTTAAATTCCATCACTGCTGAATCCTAATCGCCACTGAATCGTTACACTTGAAGCTCTACGTTTGTCTTTCAAGTTACTTTGTATATGACCGACTCAATTATATCTTCATTATGCCTTTTTATCATGTTCCGCTTTTTTTGTATCTTCCGACTAGCTTCGATCGATATGCGAAGCAATTAAAAACACCATCGTACAAAGTACCGAATGAAAATGGGTACAATGAAAAAATCTTCGTCTGGCGTACACAAAACAATACACTCAATTATTAAACTAAAATAAATGCAATTATTCGACGAAGACAGAGATATATTGTTGCTGGCAATTGTTCTGCGCCGACAGAATTGGGTTGCGATTAATATTTAACGCTGTGGGCAAAGAAACGACGACTGGGAATTGTTACTGCTATAATAATGTGCTCAACACTGACTAACTATGTAAACGTGTGGTTTATTTTGGAGAATTTAACGGGAGTTTTGCTACCACTAACTCGTCAAGGACGGAGATTAATAAATAAGTAGGTTTCGAGTCGTTATTTATACGATGATTTAAATTTCCATGGGGATTATGCATATCCAAAAAGCAGTTTATAAAATACTAAAGTAGAATTTATCAACAGAGCAACAGAGATTAGATCATGGCTATATACAAGAGCAAAATAAAGAGATTTTGGCCTGGCAGTGTAAAAATAGTTTTTGAAGCGAAGCTTCTATACTGGCGCCGTATTATACTTTTTGCGGTACAGTAAAATTCTGAGGAGAGGGTGACGGAACTAGCGCCACGAAAAGGCGTCACGAGTATCGTCACGAAATAGCGATATTCACTACTCTCCATAAATTGATTTCTAGTCGTCATCAGAAAATTAAAAGTATATCTGTCAATTATTGATATTGTCAGTAAAACAAATTGAAAAATAAAAGATTGATGCTGGATTCGTACCGAGTCGACAAAATTTTAAAGTCATCGCATCATAAATGTCATCAAATTAATAACAATATTGGTTTTTTTTAATAATTCCTGATTTCATAATCAATTTAAAATGAACATTAAATTAAAAGTCCACTTTAAGTGTAAATTTTAGTTTCATAATACTACAATTCAACTTAAATGGTAGAAATATGTCAATAATTAACTTCTGACAATCGTCTTTGACTGTCGTCTTAACGGAAGTAAGACCTATAAAATTGTCTTACTCCGCTGTACGCTCTGCACTAGAGTATTCGTGTGTAGTTTACGAAATACCCTAGCCACTTATCAAAGTCAGGTTAGGATGTAGTTATAAGTTGAACTGTCTTGAAAAAGACACAGTCAATTTCTTACAGACTATGTCTTGAGAAAGACAAGACAATTTTTTTACATGAACAATAATACTTTGTAGGTTTGCTTGTGTGCACTTGCACCGAATAAATAAACGAAACTGGAGACCAAAACAGTGAAATAAAAAGACGTATCGAAATTGCCAGGGCCACCTTCATAAAGATGAAAAAATTCTTCTGCAACAGAAATATAAGCATCCCTCTACGATTAAGAATGCTGAGAGGCTATGTATTTAACACGCTATTATACGGTGTAGAGGCCTGGACTCTCAAACAGAACAACATTAAAAATATTGAAAGTTTCGAGATGTGGTGCTACCGTCGAATGCTAAAGATTAGTTGGGTTGAAAGAATAACAAACTGTGAAGTAATACGAAGAATAGGAAAAGACCCAGAGATTTTGTTAACGCTAAAGCGAAGAAAACTCGAATATTTTGGTCACCTGATGAGAGGACATAAATACGCATTACTTCAAAATATAATGCAGGGAAAAATAGAAGGAAAACGGAATCCAGGCCGTAGAAGAATGTCATGGTTGCGGAGTTTGAGAGAGTGGTTTGGCTGCACCACTAATGGTGGTCTTTAGGTGCACCACTTAAACTATTTAGGTCAGCCGTAAACAAGGTCAGAATCTTCTTCTTCCTATGCCGTCCCCATTAACGGAGGTTGGCGACCACATTTTTAAAAGCTTCTCTGTCTTTTGCAACGTGGAATAATTCGTCTACAGTCATGTTTGTCCAGTCTCGAATATTTCGCAGCCATGACTTCCTTTTTCTACCTATTCCCTTTTTGCCATCGACTCTACCCTGCATGATGACCTGCAGAAGACTATATTTATTATTTCTTAGTATGTGTCCAAGGTATGCAGTCTTGCGTACTTTTTATCGTTCTCAACAATTTTTTGACTCGACCCATTCTTCTCAGCACTTCCTCATTGGTGACCCTGGCAGTCCATGGGATTCTCAACATTCTCCGGTATATCCAAAGTTCAAAGGCTTCAATCTTTTTAACTATTTGCGCTTTTAGTGTCCATGTTTCTACCCCGTACAATAATTGCGACCAGACGTAACATTCAACAAACCTCAGTCTCAGCGCAATATTCAGATTTTTAAAGGTCAGAATAGCCTTGATGATTTCCAATCTCCGATGAGAGTGGCACAAAAAGAAGAAGACTTGCACCGAAGAAAGGAATAAAAAAAAATAAAACGCTGGTTTGGAGTAGAAAGACTGACTACACTACAGAGTCTAGAGATGAGGCAAAGCCCCGACCAGCGGCCGGTAATGTCGTGACCCGCATAGTGATCGACGAGATCTGATCCATAGATTAAATATATATAAGTAAAGATAGATAGGCAACTCTTTAATACCAAAAATTGCAATGTATACAGCGCCCTCTGCCTGGTTTAGTCATGAACTAAATGGGTAATGACGCGGCGGGAATTTTAAACGTTCGAATAAGCTTTGTTGCTAATTATTGTAGTAAAACAAGATTCTACAACATAATGCAAATTATAAAAAATAATCGACAATTGTTTCTTACATTAACATTAACGATTATTTTTTGTAATTTGCATTACATTGTGGAATCTTTTATTGCAATTATGAACAGACTGCACATAATAGGAAAGGAAAGGAAGAAAAACAAAATTCAAAAATTAAAATATTTATTTAAAAAATTAACGACACAATTTACAAGTAACAAAATTATTTTAAAAACGTAAACATACTTGCTTGCTGGTAAAAATAAAGATGGAATAGCCTCTTTTTTAATAGTGGATTTATTTATTAGTCCAATGTATTGTGCATCTGGCCCAAAATGGACATTACATACACGGTATGATTTTCGTACCTTCTCCATTGGCATTTCTTGTAAATTGGGATGGCCAATCCTTTTAATCCAAACATTATACAGCTACATAAAACATACAAGAATTAGTGTCTAATAGATATAGTATAAAAAAATATATTTAAAGTCCATAACAATAATAGCAATGTAATAATCATATTATCTATTACTTCTTTCCTTTTTTTGTTGTATCATCTGTAAATACTTCAGTTTCTGGATATTTTTACATATTTGTTCTAACACAAGCAAGGTTAAAACATTTTAAGGTTAGAGATACATACTTACGAATATATTGTTTGTTAATCGTTATTAAAATATTAATGGCAAATCAAAATAAAAGCTATTTTTCATTTTAATATTAAAAAAAATAAATATTAATTATGACTTACCTCTTGATTTTTCGGAAAAATATGCATTTGAGCATCTTTTTGGTAATTTTTGCAGCCGGGTACACAGCATTTAAACACCATTTTAAAGATTTATTAAAAAATTTTCAGATAAACTGAATTTTTACTTTAAAGTAAAAGTCTTTGCTATAAACTATAAAGCCAAACTGTGAGTAAAAAAAAACACAATCAAATAATATAAATCCAAAGACGTAAACAAACACCAAGTCATAATAGACAAAATAAAATGGCGTTGTGTTGTTGTTGCGATGACATGCGCATTTGAAGAAAGTTTTTGGTGGCGCCACCTTTCTAGTTTAGTCAAGAATTAAAGAGAATGAACCGTCATTGCCATTAAAGATAACATGCCATGATCTGATCTCGACTAGCAAGCAAGCAATTTGATTAAACCCAGCCTATGAGAAATGTTCACCCAGGTAGTACGATCGGATGTAACAATTCATTGGAGCAAGGTGTGTCAACTCGAGTTAAAAACAGGAATCACCCCACCGTGCTCCAATGCTCTAGACCATCCCTTTCCCCCTTATAGCAATCTGATTCGCTATAGAGGTACAACAATCAGCCAAATGCTCTTCATGTGGAGGTCCTGGGTAATATAACCCCAACATTCGGTTTCTAACCGAATGCAAAAACTCAGGACAGCGCATCTCCGCTATATTCCTGTCTGAACTCGACTTAAAAATTGTGCGAATATTTATATTTTCAAGCCGAAGTGGGCGGGGCGATGCACATCAAGTGCTTGTTATTGGTCGATAGCTTAGAGCACTTGATGACATGACACGCATATATGTCTATGACTTGCATTAAGTTTCATTAAAATGCTATTTTTTTCAAAGTTAAAATGATGCTGAATACTTCTTGAAGTTCTTATTCTTCCGAAAATTAATTTATATATGTACGCCACTCAAAAGCTTACAAATGATTTAGGCTAATATCGTCATTTATGTCTATTTGAAAGTTTTCTTTCGGCAAAAGATACAGTTATGTCTTTATTTAAACAGATCGAACCTTTAATAAAACTTCCCAACAAAAAGATATAATAAAATATGTCATCACATTAACATTGGTGGATAAAAGATCATTAAAAAGTCAAACCAACCAACATTAATACTTAACGCTGGTACATCACACTTATTTTTTAAGGCATGAACTTCACACTCGTGTCTCAGAAACCCAAAACTGTTTTTTAGCAAAAAAAAAACAGAAAATGTGAATATTTGATGGATTTGGGAGAATATCTAATCTTAGTAGAATGTGTAGAAAAAAATTTAACCATGGTGTGGTATTTCACAAAGAGATATATTTGTTCAAATTTAAAAATAACATAAAATAATATTTAAACATAAAACATGGTTATTAAAACAAATAAACATTAAATTGAAATTATCATCTACAAAATACACCTGTATAACTATCCTTGTAACAAAAAAATAAACTTTTTTGGTAATATAAGTCTTAGTTATTCTTAGCCAGGTCTTCTCTTTTCTCATCTTGTACGACTCTGTCTTGCTGGTGCTTGTGTGCTCCACCGATGACCATTTTTCCCCAGTAAACTAGGAATATTTCTAACTGGTTCATCCACTATTTCGTCTTCATTATCGCTTTGTTCACTGTTGCTGTCTGACAGTTGCTCTTCAACGTAATCTTCATCAGACTCGTCCTCTCCAAACATATCGTCTACGATGTCGTTTTCACTCTCATTCTCCCATAAATTGTCTGCCTCTCTCTGTAATTCTACCTCAGTTAAAGGACGACGATTTTCTCTGCTAGTTGATGCCTTTACTCGATTAGTTTCTCTACTAGTTGACGCCATTATACTAAAATAAATAAAAATAAGTTGAAACAAAATTATTACCGTAAACATCACCCTTGGGTCCGGGGGATATCTTACCTCGTTGTTTCACTAAAATGCAGCGAATGACCCGTATTCTAACTCGGCTTACGACAGACTGAATTTACATAGAGTGACGACACACATAAACCACTCATGCGCATGTCACATTGCAATGAATGACTCTCTGGGTTTCTGAGACCCAACAGTACAGTTCCAGGGTTAAATGTATGTAGAGAAAATATAATATTAATCAGTACATATTTTAAGGCGATAGGCTGTTACGCCAGTCCGATAGTTATTATCACCATTAATTTTTTTTGCTGATCAGGTACCAGTTGTAGGTAATTTCAAAGTCAGAATGAAGAAGATTACAAGTAAGTCGATGAAGAAGTATGATGATGTTAAAAAACTGAAACATCCCAATGTTCGACTGAAGGAGAGTGAAAACCTCAATACAAAGGTGCTAAAATGCAGAAATTCAGCAACTATAATATAGTATCATACAAGAAACAGTGTAAGAAATAAAAAAACAAAACCTGAAGAAAGATAAAGAGAAACGGACATTGTGAATGACCGATGAAATATTTGAACTTATGGATCAGAGAAACAAAAAGAAAGAAAATCTCCAATATAAGAGAATCAGAAAATAGAACAGAAGGGATTAAATGTCGCATCATCAACTAGCCTCTAACGTCCACTGCTGAACATAGGCCTCTCGCATGCTTTTCCACTTAGTCCGATTTTGCGCCATCTGAATCCAATTTGTAGTCACTCTTTTTATGTCATCTGTCCATCTCGTTGGGGGTCGACCTTTATTTCTGTAAGCTTGTATTCGGGGTCTCCATTCCAAAATTCTTTTTGTCCACCGGTCATCAACTGATCTTGCTACATGACCTGCCCAGTTCCACTTTAGTGTTGTTATCCTTTCAATAACGTCTGCTACTCTTGATCTTTTGCGTATACTAGCATTGGGTATTCTATCACGTAGAGAAATCCCTAACATAATTCTCTCCATTGCTCTTTACGCAACTTGTAGTTTACTCACTGTTGATCTTGTGAGTGTTAGGGTTTTTGCGCCGTAGGTCATCACTGGCAAAATACATTGATTAAATACTTTTCTTTTCAGACACACTGGAATCTTAGACCTAAAAATATCCTTCATCCTTCCAAATGCAGCCCAAGCGAGGTTTATTCTTCTTTTCAGCTCGATTGTTTGGTTGTCTCGACTTATTCTGATCTCATGGCCCAAGTGTTTATAGGAGTCCACTGGCTCAATATCTTTATCTTCTATTGAGATGTTTTTGTGTCGCATAGGAAAATGTCGCATAGGAAAGGCAAAAAGTGCATTCTTGACTATGAGCTCTGTGTTCAAGAGCCATGGCCTCACCCTAGAAACAAAAAAGGCTCTTTAAATGTTACGTGTCCTGAGTGCTTCTCAAAAACATGGAGATTGAAGGAGGAAACTCTATTAAAATTTCAGGCATTTGAGCTATGGTTATACAGATGGATCCTGAATATACCATGGACAGACAAAGTCACCAGTAAAGAAGTACTACGAGGATGAACACAACCGCGGATTTGGTTAACATCGTGAATGGCCGTAAGCTGCAGTACTTAGGACATATAATGAGAAATCAAGGCAGATATGGGCTACTCAAATGCATTTTACAAGGTAAAATTGAAGGAAAAGAGGCCCCAGACGAAGAAGAATATCCTGGCTTGCTAATCTGAGAGCATGTTATAGAAAGACCTCAAAACAGCTATTCCGTATAGCAACCAATAAAGTCATCATAGCCAGAATGATCGCCAACGTTCAGAACGGACTGGCACCCTAAGAAGAAGACATTAATAGCATAAGTTAAGGAAAAATTTGTGTCATTTTATGATTTCCAAGATGCATAGCTGCAGTTATTTGTACTTTATTACGAATTGATTCTCATGGATGTGCAAATGCAGAAATATATCCTTCACAAAAAGAATTTTTGCATTAAAGGTCAAAACAATCAGTGACCAGTTCAAAAATTAATAGTATGTTGTTCAACAGGCAAATAGGTTTATAATTTCTTAAGTCCGTTCAATCTCCTTTTTTATGCAAAAGGATGGTTCTAGCATTGTTCCATTCTTTGGGCACCTCTCTTTGCTGCAAAACATACATTAAACAGTTTCCTTAATTAATTTAATAGTATCTCCTCCAATAGCTTCTTTTACAATAATTCCATCCTCTCCTGGGGCTTTGTTATCTCTCATTTTTCTTAATTTTGTTGGTTTATTTTATAAAAATAAACACTTTTTCAGAAACAGCTGTGCGGTTGACTCTTTTGATTATTTATCTGTTTTTTTTTTTACAAAATTGAGTTTAATTATTTAGGTTATTTTTTCGAAATACAAACAATATTGTTTTTGTCTTCCAACTTTTATAAACACTTTTATAAATATCGAAACCGTATAGCCATCGTCAGGTGCAACCTGAGAGATACTTTCATTTTTTGTGGTTCGATAAACGAGCAGATATTTATTTGATTTTTTTTCCTCGGCGGTTGGTAAATACGTGAAAACCGGCTTTTGACTTTACGGTTATCTCCATATTAGTCGTTTGGTGAATCGCCGATATCGAAACTACCTTCTGTTGAACTTGAGCATCGGAATTTGTTAAGTTTTCAACGAGGGACATATTATTTATTTTGGAATTTTTTAATAGTATTTTAATAAGTTAATTTTTCTTTTAATCTGTTACTTCTGAAGGCGAATGATGAATGAGGGCACGGCATGTACAAGAATTGGACAAACCTACAATTTATTTGAAAGTGCATCACATAAAAATAAATTTTTGTTCGCTAAATTTTTCTTAGAGTATTTTCTCGAGCCTGGTAGATATTTTTATTGTTTTGGCGATAAGCAAAAATTAGGTTTATTTGGATATTTGTAAAAAATATATTAAAAGCTCTTCTCATAAAATACTTTATCACTTCTAGAAGAAGACTTCCAGGCTTCTAGCACAATTTTGTTTATTCTTTATAGATAAATGTTCAGGACATCTCAGTCAAGGACGCTGCCTAACTCACCGTAGTATAGGATTCGTTCGTTTTTCTTGTGTTGGTCATAGTTCCCGACATACTTTAAAATGTCTTCTTGTCGCCGAGTCTACACTGAACGCCTACGTGCTAACCAAACCCTCCTCTGTCATCCGTCCGGCCTCAGGCCGAGCACCACTGCGGAACGACTACCTTGATTTATTCTTATTCTGACAGCAAGGAGGCTCCCAGTCCCTTTCCCCTGTTTCCCTTTTTCTTTTTTCTTTCCCTCTAG